TTCTATTGACTTTAGTTTTACCTGTGAAACAGATTCTCACACCACTCATACGTGGGACCATTATAAGCTGTAATCATAAATCCATGGTGGAGCTAACATCCATAAAAGTGCACACATCCAAATGCCTTTAACATTTTTTGGAGGTACACACTTCAATTCCTAAGAAAGATTGAGAAGAGAGGCAAAAACTCGTACATTTAATAAGTTTATGCAATAATAAAGGGTAAAATGAATATAAAAATTATTAACTTGTTGAAAAATTCTTATAACTTTAATCTCTATATATGACATTTTAATTTTTATTTATCTTTTCCATGAAAAAATACACTACTATTATTGCTTCAATAAAAAATCAATTTGTAAATTTACTTTTATATAAAAAATTAAATATAGAAATTAAAGTTACAATTTAACCATAATATTTTAAATAAATTATGAATTTGGTATTAATGGGGCACGCCAACTAACCTGCGATAGAGGCACCCAACTTACTAAAGTTAATGACAAAGGTCTGTGTCAAGTGTTGGACCAACGCTTTCACCGAAACAAGAAAAGATTGTTTGGCAGTTTGTCAAAACTGTAACAAATCTTAAACTATACATTTGTACTTCAGTGGCTATTGTCTCCTTTCAATTAAAAGAGTATGCAAAATAAATAACTAAAACAATTTTAAATTAATATTATATATTATATTGGCTCCTTTTTTTATATTTGATTTTTTTCAAAGTTTAAAAAATATAAAATTACGAAAGTTTAAAATTTATTAATGATGATTTTCAGTGTAGGTACAAAAATTTAAAGAAAGTAAAAAAAATGATAAAATTTCAAAAATCGTTAGTAGTAATTTTTTTAAAAATATTTAAAAGTTAAAAAAATTAAAAGTTACTAATAATGATTTTTAAAAAAATAATTAAATATTTAAAAGTATATAAAAATTGCTATTGGCAGATTTTGATCAAAAGTCGTCGATGATAAAAAATCATATTTTCATAAATTTGCCAAAAATTTCATATTTTTTAAATTTTAAAAAAATTATATATATAAAATTAATCCATATTAAATTACATTGTTTTATTTTTTATATACATTTTAATAAATAAAAAATAATAATATTTAAAATACTTGTGAAAGTCAAAATAGTGTGTACTTGATTTTATTTGATCCCGTGAACTTGTGTCACCAAGTTTTTTGTTAACTTAGCAGTGATCAATCTTTATATTTTAAATAAAAGTTAATTGTTAAGAACGTAAAATATTAATAAATTAATTTATTTTGCAGTTTTTTAGAGGTTTATTTTAAGATTAAAATTAAATATATAAATTATCCTTTTCTTTTGCAATAATTATTCTATTTATTTACATCTTTAATTTTGTTGTAAATTTTGAAAGTAAAAATTATCATTGATTTTTTATTTTTAATTTATATAAATTTTTATATTTTTGTAAATATTTATTTTTTATATTTTATCATGAATAATTATAAAATATTTTTATAAAAATTATATATAAATAATTAATAAGCATGTCTATTTTTCAACTTTTAAGATATAATACATGCTTAGAAATTTATATTAATAAATTTATTGTACATTATATAGATATTATTAAATTAGAATATTTCTTTAAGAAAAACGTTATATGCCTTTCTTAAATGTAATACATTTTATAAATTTTAAAAGAGTCAATACTTTTATTACAATTTAATAAAATTTAAATGAAAAACTAAATATTAAATATAATAAAAAGTACATATTGTAATTAAGAAAATAATAACTCATAATTAAAATGGCTTTTATTTAATATAACTCTCTGTTTCAACTTTTATTTTTAATCGGTACGTATCAATTTTTTTAAAATAAAAATTATAATAAATAAAATTAAATAAATACATATTTAAAATTTTAAAATACTATGAAAAGCTCAAATTTTATATTTAGAATGATAAATATTAGAACTAACTCTTAAAAATTGTTCTCATTTGAAATATCACTTTAAAACGCTCTCAAGCAAGAATTAATATGAAAATTTCAAAATTTAATTTAATATTAAGTTAAAAATAGTTAATATGATAAAAAAATTCAAACCATCTTTTAAAACACTTTAGTTTCATAAAATAATTGAATTTGTTTGAGTAGTAATACTCATAAATTTTATATATAAGTTGATTAATATTAACTTAAGAAATAAAATGATTAATTTATAAAAAATATTTCTAAAGATTAAAATCAGAATTAATTTTTAAAAATACTTTTTTTTTTGAAAAATCACTTAAAAAGCATTCTTATTCAAGAACTATAATTCAAAATTTATATATACATATTGATTGATTATTTTAAACTGAACAGTTAAAAAAATTTATTTGATTTTTTAAACTTAAGAAATTTTAAAAAGTAAACAGAACAACTATTAATAACAAATATTATATAATAATAAAACATAAAGCTATATTTGGAGGCAATATAATAAATAATCATTGATCAAACATAAAGCTAACATCAACATTCGTAAAGTACAGACATAAAAGTATGGTTGGTGCGTCGTAATTAAATGAATAATGATCATTTAACATTTTTTAGATTACACACATTCAAATGAGAAAAGTCAAAAATTAAGAAAATCGGGAAATTCTTTTAATATATTATATAACTAAAACGAAATAAATAAATAAATGAAAATTAAGAAAAGATATATTAAAAAGTTACGGTTAAATTTAAATTGGAAAGTCTAGAATAGACTGTTGGGAAATAACTGATTAAAAATAAAAATATATTTTAAAAAGGTATAATAATATATTTTTCATAATTTTTAATGTATTCTTAATATGTTTTATGTATTAGTTTTTAATTAATAAATAAAAATACTAAATTTATGAGATTATGAACTTCAATGCCCAAACGAAACTGCTTTGGAAGTCATTATATAGCTTCTTGACTAATAACTAGAAACACTTTTTGGTTCCTCGTAATCGGACACGCCAGCTAACTTGCAATAAGCAGACACTTAGCTTCTTATGTGAATGAGAAGTGAGAAGAAAGTACACGCCCTCTATCCTATCACATAAATTCCATGTAAGAAAACTGAAAAGGGTGTAAAAAAGATTTTACTATATTATTGAATTCTTTTATAAAAATATTAAATACACTAAATCATATTTATAGAATACGACTTATTCCATTTTTTTCTGTAAGTAAATTTGTTGCAGTTTAAAATATAATTATAACAGTTAAAAGCTTCCAAATATTATCACAAATTTAATTATATAAAATCATAGAAAAAAGATGAGTCATATTTTATAAATATAACTTATTCTATTTTGACAAATTTTTAAAAAAATACTAAATTTAGTAACTTTTTGGGAATGCCTATGTGAAAAAGTCGTAACAGGTTTTCAGATCTGCTATAAATCGTAACCATCGATCATATTTTCGTGGAAACTGTGCAAAATAAAAAGTAAAATACATCAATATTTGACTATAATTAAAGCAGTCCAGATATTTAAGTCACTTTAAAGTAAAAGCAAATGAATCCTCCTTTTTCCCCTTTCATCCTTTATCACTTTCGAAAATCAAACCGTTTATTATTTACAAGGTTAATTAGATAATAATAATAATAATAATTACTTGTAATTAGATTTTAATTTCTAAAGAAATGGAAAGAAGAAGGGATATACATTTAAAGCACGTGAAAAAAATCAACTGAATCGTTCGAGTCTAATTTAGAAAATTTTTCAAATGAATTATTTTTCTTCACAAAATGATTGCAATCCTTGATGAAAAAGAAAAAAAAAAGTTCAAGGCTCTTAAAAAGAAATAAAAGGATAGGTTTAGAGAATTTTTATCTTTTGATAACTCTAACGTTATTTGTTTTAAATGTAGAAAACTTAGATACATCAAAACCAAATGTCCAACTTTAGAAGATAAAAGTAGTTTTCTTAAAAAGAAAAAAAAAAGTCTAAGAGCTTGTTTGATTTAGTTTTGATTTTAATTTTTAAAAATTATATTTTAAAATAATTTTATAAAATTGTTTTTAGAAAAAAAAATTATTTGATAATTTAGTTTTTAAAACTATTTTTAGTTAAACTTTTGTTAGTTTTAAAAAAATAAAAAAATAAAAACAAAAATACCTAAATAGTAATTCTGTTTTTTAATTTTAAAAATTAAGAATAAAAATTTATTTTAAAAAATAATTTTTAAAACTTACATTAACAAATAATTTTTTGTTTTTTATTTTTAAAAATAAAATTCTATTTAAAAAAGAAAATAAACAAGCTCTAATTATTTCTTTTTTAGACTTCAATGAATCCAAGTCGAGTTGAGAAAGTTTTTATAATCTTAAAGAATATAGATGATATTTTTGAAAAATTTTAGATTAGGACATAATTTACAAGGAGAATTTTTGAAATAAGAAAGGTCATCTGTAATGTGCTTAATAGAAAGATAAAAGCAAACAAATGGAATCTTGATAATAGATGCTTGTGACATATGATGAAAAAAAGGTTTACATTCCTAGAACTATGACCTTATGAAGAAGGATACGGTGAATTCTAATATTCTTCTTTCTTTTGTAATAAGTGTGTTGGTTTGAAAGTATTGCTTTCATTTAAGTGATTCAAAATTGAGCCTGAGCTGTCAACGGGAGTAGTTTAAAATTGGATGGCTAAGATTAAAGGTTGAAGAGGTTAACAAATGTGGAGAAGAATTATATGTGAGGCAGATAAAGATGAGTAATAATGTAAAACTGACAGTTTGTGTTCTGAGAGAGCATTGTGGTCAATTCTAGTGCTGAATTTTAGGGTATGAGATCTCACAACAAAGTGAATTAGCAAAAAATGAAGCCTTGATGAGAGAGGTAGCATAGTGTAGGTTTTTTTTTTTTATTAGAATAGTTGAAATACTTAGTCGTAGACGAAGGTTAATAAAAATTTACAGTGCAAAGATCAAGGAGAATAGGACGACAAAGGGATTAGGAAAGACAAAATGGCCATTATAAGAGAAAGTTGAAATGGATTTGCGTGAAAATGAGGATGGAAACGAAGAGGTTTGCATAGGCTTTGTGTATTTTAGTGAATGACCATAGTTGTTATATTCCAAGTAACGTGTATTATTTATATTTGTTATAGGTTGTTGTTGAGGAATGCAATGTTGATGTGGAAATGGCAAGTTCAGATGAAGTTGGTATGCACAATGATAGGTACGTTAATTTTATTGATTTATGTAGCAGTGAGATTAAGAGAATGGAATTTTTGAGTGTTGAGGAAGGTTATAAATTTTATAATGAATACAACAAAATGAATGTGTTTAATGTGAGGAAAAACAAACAGGGTAAAAAAGAGAATAGCGATGTTGTGTAGCAGCAATTTGTTTGTTCAAGACAAGGTTTTCGACGAGAAATGTACAAATGTAACCCCAATCGACTTAGGGACCACAGAGCAATTACTAGGTTTGGTTGTGAGGTTGAGATGAAGATACATGTAAATGTAGATAGAGAGTGCTAGGTAGTTTGTCGATTCCTTGATGATCATAATCATAATTTAGTTTATGAGAATTATTATAGAATGTTAAGGTCACATTGCAAAATGGATGATAGTGATGTTGAACAAATGCAGAGAATAAGGAAGAGTAGTGTTGCAACATGCAAAATATATAACTCATTCGTTAACCAAAGAGGAAGTTATGATATGGTTGGGTTTTGCAAAAAAGATATGTATAATCAAATTGAGAGAAATAGAAGAGGAGAGGATGTGGATGTAAAAGAGGCAGAAAAATTCTTCATAGGCTTGCGCTTTAAGGATCCCAAGTTGTATTGGGGTCATAAGGTTGATTCTAATGGGAGATTGTTGCATATGTTTTGGTGTAATGGTATAAGTCAAATTGATTATGACATCTTTAGAGATGTTGTTGCTTTTGATGCTACTTGTGGGAGGAATAAGTATAAATGTCCTGTTGTAGTTTTTTGTGGTGTCAATCATCATAAATAGACATGTGTATTTGGGTGTGTTATTATATCTGATGAAAAAGAGGATATTTATGTATGGGTTCTTGAACAGTTTATAACATAAATGAAGGATAAGTGTCCTAATTGTGTGATTACTGATAGTGATATATCAATGAGGAATACCATTAGGAAAGTTTTCCTAACTGTTCATCATCGATTGTATGGCCGACATTTAATGAGGAATGTGACATGTAATGTTTATAATGAAAGGTTTAGTAAATTGTTTAAAGAATGCATGCTTGGTGACCTAGATATTAAACAGTTTGAACAGAAGTGGGCTTCCGCCACTGAGGAGTGTCATTTGGGAGGTAATGTATGGGTTGAGAAATTATATAAGAAGAAGGAGATGTGGTGTACTACTTACATTATAGGTAAATTTTTTGTTAGCTTAAGGACAACCTCAAGATATGAGGGTCTACATTCTCAAATTGGTAAGTGTGTTAAGTCACGAAATAACTTGAGAGAATTTATGGAGAATTTTAAGCAATGTATTGATAACATTTATAATAATAAAAAGGAAATGAATTTTAAGTCATATTATGGTCATCTAATGCTTGTAAGTCATGTAGTTATATTGGAGAAATTTGCAGCAACGGTGTATACTAGAAATGTTTTTAAATTTTTTCAGGAAATGTTATTGAAGTCAATATCTTTAATAGTGATTGATGTTATTCAATGCCTTTCATCAAAGATTTATATTGTTATGAAGTGTGGTCATAGACCAAAGCAATAAAAAAATTGTTTGGAAGAATAAAAAATGGAGATATGTTGTTCTTGTCTTACAATGGAGATATGTTTTTGGTTTACCGTGTCCTCATATTGTTGCAGTGCAAGTGTACCTGCAGGTTCACTACCTACCAAGTTGGCTCGTGTTAAATAGGTGGACAAAAATGGCCAAGAGAAGTTATAAACAAGATGACAATCAAATGGTAAGAAATGGCAATGAAATCTCATTGAGGAGGAGTTGGTTTGGACTATTATGTGAGAGTGGAAGATCGATGTTCTAATTGGCTTATCAAAGTTACAATGAGATTTCTAATGTTAGAGATATTCTGACAAAAGAGATGTAGCAGCTAAAAAGAAAGTATGGACATGAACAACCTGATTTTACTAGTCAGAACTTCAATGACTATGGTGGAATTGATGCGGCCGACCCCATTGCAAACACAAATACGACAGTCGATATGTGCAATGGTCTTTGTTATGCTTGTGTTATGTGTATACTTATTTTCTTTTAAAGTTAATGTTGCAATCATTTAACTAACCATGACGTCTTCATATTATGAATATGATGTTGTATGTTGATGATGGTATGAAATGACTAGGAGTTATGTACGTGTGAGCTATATAGTTGTTGAATAAAAGTTGTGCATTTGTAGTGTTAAGTGGTTGTTGTGAGGGTTTGAGATCAATTAGTAGGTGTGATATGTGAATGATAACCTAAGAATTATAACCAAGGACTTGTATTGCCTCATTCTAGAAAGAATTAGGAGTTATGGATGCAAGGTGTCTCTCTCAAGCAAGGTGTAACACCTTAATTTAATTTTCAAATAAATAAATTTTGTAAAAACAGGAATAATAAAAACTTTTCATTCAAATAATCCCAATGCATAGTTCAACAAAGTATTTCAAAGTAAGGATGAATTACAATTTGAATCAAATAATCGCTACAGGACTTAATTAATACATTTCAATTTCAAATAAATATTCTAAGTCCTATAGTAGTATCATCCATCCCTTCACTGAGTCCGATATTGATCATCTTGGTCACCTAAAAAATAAATGTAAGGGTGAATACTTTATACTATCGAACACACACAAGCATAGATACTCACCGTGCACACTCCACATGTTTTCTAACATACTCTACTTAAGTATCATCAATCATAAACAACACTTTTCAAACATTCCATTTCAATTCACAAACCGGTGCAGTGAGCACTGCACCAACAAATATTTCACACGGCTCACTGCATGTAGCCATGCTCACTGTGGCACTGTGATCACAATTTTACACCATGGATGGTCGCCGGTTAGCCCTCGCCTCATGGATATAACGTGTGCAGTCATGAGTCCCTCGACAAAGGTGTTAGTAAGAGGCCAAGTCAGGAGGAGAGTTTGTGGTCTGTGGTGCACCCACGCTCATTGTTAGTGTCACTACCACCCTCTCTTCCCCAAGGTATTTCTACTACCCTCATCTTCTACACCTCTAATGTATCGCTGAACCATTCATAACTTCCAATATATTCACAATCGCATTTAACATGCCATTTACACACATTTTAGCCACATTTTCAATTACATATAGTATTCATGTTCACTCACAGCATATATACCCACATTCACTTACTTCACGTTTGTCACAAAGCTAAGAGAACACTAACTAGCAAGTGTACTAGGTAGTTGTAGCAAGTAATAAAATTTGGAATTCAGTTTGACTTAATAACTAGTTGAGTCAAACGAATATTGGAGATGTTTTGAGCATTTGCAAAAAAAGCAATAAACTGTAGAAATCAGAAAATCATAGCAAAACAAAGTGACGAATTTTAGTAATGAAATGATGTGTGAATGGATTTAGGATTGATTTCACCTCTTCATCAATTGCAAAACTGAAGTAGATATGAACTCTAAGTTCCTTAATTGATTGATGATCAATTTCGCTAGATTAATCAAAGTTCAATTCCTTGACTCATTGATCCTAATATTCAATTAACTACCCTAATTTCTTAGGTGTAAATCAATCAAACATTGCATCAAGCATTGGAAATTATGATATCACAAGATCACGAATTCTTATCGCTAAGATATCCATAACCTTGACATTCAATTCAGATCTAAGAAATTAACTCAACTTCCATTGATGAAAATCCTCTAGGTTCAATTCAATTGAATAGAAAATTCAAAAATTGCATTAAGGGAAGAATTAAATGTTTAATACAATCAAGATCTTAAAATCCAGATCCACAATCAATTTACAATATCAAAATCGGATCCATCAATCCATAAGAAAAAGTAATCAGAACATGTTCATAGAAGAAAAAGAGAAAGAAAGAGTAGAAGAAGAGGAGCTGCAAAATTTCTTCATAAATCCAATCCCCAACTTGATTCCTCAACGTCCAGAGCTTGGAAGTCGCCCACAATCTCCGTCTCTAACTCTCCTAAGGTGTGAAAATGAAAAAAATGAGAAAAGATCCCAAGTTTCTGAGCTTTTCTACAATTTATAAAATTCCCGCCTTTCGTGTATTATCACTTTTCTGCACTAAAGTAACCACGCAGAGGCCGCATGTTCACTTTCGTGAACGAAAGTGATCACACGCATCTTGCTATGCTGGGGAGCTCTCTGGAACACTCACTTTCACCAGCGATAGTGACTATGCACACTGGAATGCTCACTTTTGCCAGCGATAATGATCACGCACACTTTGCTATGTTGAGGAACTCTTTGGAACGCTCACTTTCCCCAGCAAAAGTGACAACGCGCATCTGTACTCTTTTGAAAAACTCTCTGGAATGCTCACTTTTACCAACAATAGTGATCACGCCCAGATTCCCCTTCATTTCCAAGCTCTGGAACAATTACTTTCACCAGCGAAAGTGATAACGCTCAACACATCTTTATCAATTCTTGTTTCTTGTCTCCAAATTTGCTACTTTTCTTCTATCTTCCTCAATTAATCCTCCAACCTTATGATCTCAACTCAGAGTTTCTTGCAAAATAGGTTCTAATAAGTACTTTTTACATAGAAAATTCACAAAATCTAAACAATTGAACTATTTAGAAATGAATTGAACATTCTATTATCTTTATGAGTTTTCCAACTTTTTCCATCATGTTTTTCATATCAAATGTATTAAAAACTAAGGTAAAATACTAGTAAAATCTGCATTTATCACCACCCCAACCTTAGATTTTTGCTTGTCCTCAAGCAAACCAGAACATACAAAGGAGGATTCAATGCATTATCAAAACAACAATGAAAATCTTTTTACATGGACTTCATTTTCAATTTGTACAGAATTCTTCATTCCACATCATTCCTTCCAATTATCCTTTCAACAAATCATTCATGCATTTAGTCACAATGAAAGTCACACTCAACAAATCTTTTAATGCTGAATCTTACAAATTTGAGCTAATGAACAACAAAGCAACATGTGAAACATCAATGAAAGATATCATTACCACTCACAAGGAAGTGTTTCCCTCTCACTCATAAGTGTTTAAGGTGAGTGTTTACCCTCAATATCATTAATTTTACCTCACCCTACCATATGCTTGCCCATATTCTCAATCTTCTCTGCTTAATACAATCAATCACACATCAAGAGGACTTTTCTTTTTCCAAAAGAAAAGAGACATTTTGAGTGAATGAACTTAAAAATAGCATGGAACTGCATTATTTTTCAATAATTCCCAGTATTGAACAAAATGGGAAACAAAACATGCAAATCCAAAAGAAAAGAGACATTTTGAGTGAATGAACTTAAAAATAGCATGGAACTGCATTATTTTTCTATAATTCCCTCAATTATGCAGCAAACAGATTCGTTCATGCAACAGAATGAATCTGCATTTATCAACGTATTAAAAACTAAGGTAAAATACTAGTAAAATCTGCATTTATAAACATTCCATACACACAACATTTCCAACACAATCCATATCCATCAATTTATTCCATTATACATACTATATTCTGCACAATCTTTCCATCACAATCTCACTACAATCAATCAATTCCATTAAAACGCTCACATTCTAAACCATCCACATTACAATACATCGTAAAATAACGGATTTAGAGATATATGAGACAGGGTAGAGTCCCCCTTTACCTCAAATCGAAGACCCACAACGTAAATCAACAATGGAAGCGTCCCCTACACAGATTTCATCCTAAATACATGGAAGAATCCCATGAGAACCAAGGAAAACTAAGAAAACAGAGAATGGGGATGAGAAACTGAAATCCTAACTCTTAGAACTTACCTCTAAACACCCCAAACTCAAGCACAACCTTCAATCTTGCTCACAATTGGCTTTGGAGGTGATTTAATTGGTGAAATAGGGTTGGGAGTCAAGAGAATCAAAGAGAGTTTGAAGAGAAAAGAGTGGGAATGTGTTTCCCAAACCTTAAATCCCTCAAATACCCTTTTGGTCGTGACACTCTTGCTATAGCGACACCCGCTCTCGCTACAGCAAAAATCCCAGAGGAAACTGCACTCTGGTTCCTGCAGAATCTCGCTACAGTGAGACTGCACCTAGAAATGCGCCCTCTTCTGTTGCGTTCTTGATGCAACGAGGAGTCTCTTGCTACAGTAAAAATGCAATAGATTCATGTCTTTCTCTCAGGGCCTTCTTGCTACATTAAGAATGCCTCTGCAGCACACACTTAGCCTATTTTTCAGTCCAATTCCAACTTAACTACTAGTCTAACATTCTCAATCAATTCACACTCCTTCACACTTATTCACATCATAATACAATCAAATACACATATCCACATCACATTTTAATCATATTATATATATATATATATATATATATATATCTTCACAATTACATTCACATCCAAATCATCACACAATCAAATGCATATTCATACATCAATTCACATATTTATCTCAATAATCAAATAGTTTACAAAACTTGGGGAATTACAACTCTCCCCTCCTTTAGGGAATTTTGTCCCTGAAATTCAACCAAATTACATAAATAATCTCGGATATAGTTCCCTTATTCTACTCTCGGTTTCCCATGTGACATCTCCCTCATCACTTGAACTCCATATCACTTTCACTAACGAGAATTCCTTGCCCCTCAACTGCTTAACACGGTTCGTAATCCTCACCGAGTACACATCATAGGACAAGTCCTCCTTCACTTGCATCGGGTCAAGGTTAATCACGTGAGAAGGATCTGACACATATTGCTTGAGTTGTGACACATGGAACACCGGATGTAGATTTGAGAGATTCGGAGGTAACACTATCTGGTACACTACAGGACAAATTTTACTCAATACTTCAAACAACCTAATGAACTTAGGAGATATCTTATGAGATTTCAAAGCTTGATAAATCCACATTTTACTATACTCTTTAGTATAGTTTTATTAATAAATAAGTAGTAAAGTGCTAAGTAAACTTGGAAATACCATAAAAATTGCATTAATGTTCATAATTGTGTAAAAAGTTTAGAATTTTAGATTTTAGTCCAATTCTAAACAATTTGACTTAAAAAGACTTAATTTTTTGTGCAGAAGCTTGAGATCAGAATTTGAAGTTGATATTGAAGTGAAAAAAGTAAAAGGATTAAGCCTAAAAGATCAAGAATTAGATGATAAATGCTGGGTGTAACCACTTTGAAGAAGAAAATCTATAAGATCAAGAGAGTAGCAACTCTAAGTGGTGAAAGTAAACAGTCCAGCAGTAGAAATCCTAAAAAGACCTTGCGCGTGTACACTCCAAGCGTTGAGAGTAGCTATGCCCAAGGCTAATTTACTCACTCTCAATATGCACGTCCACTCTAAGCACTGAGAGTAGCTATGCAGTAAGCGCATGTCCACTCTAAGCGCTGCGAGTAGCTAAGCGTGAGGCTTTTCCATACAGAACACTTACATGTGGACACTTTTACCACTGAAAGTGTCCACGCAAAATAACAGAATTTTGAAAACAATTTCTAATTGTTGACTTTGGACGATTTAAGTTTCTAATTCAGTTGTAGAAGCTTCTAGAAGACCTTTCATGCTATAATTCTCAGAGATTAAAATGTGGAAGTGAAAAAGGAGAGAAAAACATTATAAATAGAAGTTAGAAGTTCAGATTGTGGCTTTTGTTCATTATTTTGTTATTTTCACTTTGTAAGTGTTTTAACTTCCAAGGGAAGTCAGAGAGAGGGATTGGGAGCAACTTTCAAACTTCATTGCTAGAGGAATCAGGGTGAAGATTGAGTCTTGGAAAATGTTCTTTTGCTCCTTGTCTTCTTTTTCTTTGACTTCTCCTTCTTCCATTGTAATGTTGTTCTAAACCTTTTTGGTTAGGGGTCTATGGATCCATATTTGATATTGTGATGTAATTTGGATTTGTATCTTGATATTTTAATGGAATTAAGTGCGATTCTATTCTTAATGCAGTTATGAACTAATCCTTCATTCAATTGAACTTAGAGGAATCTTTATTAATGAAAATTGAGTTTATTTCTCATATCTGAATCATATGCCTAGGTTATTGAGATCTTAAGAATAAGTACCATGATCTAGTAATCCTATAATTTCCAGAACTTAATGTAGTATTTGATTAAATTTTACCTAAGGAATTAGGGAGGTTTAATTAGATATTAGGATCAATGAGGCAAGGAATTGTCCTTTAGTTAAAGAAGTGAAATTGATTATCAATCAATTAGAATTCTCAAGAGTCCAGAAAATGATTTTTTTGCAATTGAAAATCTAGTGAAGTGATTCCTAACTATTTTTCACATAGCATTTTCAATCTAAAATTCGTATCTTGTTTTACAGCATTTTATTACCTTTTAATGTTCTTATTTTTCATCCTTTTACATGTTACAAATCTTCCAAATGAATTGTGTGGCTCAACTTATTGTCAAATAGTGAAGTGGTAATTGAAAATAAGATCCTTGTGGACGATACTTGGGACTTATATTGATTTCCAAAATTTATTACTTGCTACAACTACCTAGTATACTTGCTAGTTAGTAGTTCTCTAATTCTCGTAACAGAGCTTTCCCAACTCCAGTCACAGTTGAGACCTTCAAAAACACATGGTCACCCACCTGGAACTCCAAATGCTTCCTCCTTCTATCATAGTAGCTCTTCTGTCAATCTTGTGCAGCCTTCATCTTCTCTCTGATCATCTTGGTTTGCTCACTTTGCCTCTGAATCATATCTGGCACACATAGAGATGCCTCTCCAGTTTCATGCTAACACAATGGTGTTCTGCACCTTCGCCTATATAAAGTCTCAAACAGTGTCATCCCAATGCCGGCGTGAGAACTGTTGTTGTACGTGAACTCCACCAGTGGCAGACATTCTTCCTAAGTCCCCTATTGCTCGATACACAAACTCTCAACAAATCTTCCAGGGACTGGATGGTCCTCTCTGTTTGACCGTCGGTCTGTGGGTGATAAGCCGAACTAAGTCTCAACATAGTACCCAATGCCCTCTGCAGGCTCTCCCAAAACCTTGAGGTAAACCTTGGGTCTCTATCATACACCACACTGGTTGGCACTCCATGCAGCCTAACTATCTCCCTCACATACACATCCGCCAACCTCTCTAACTTATACTTTATATTGATCAAGAGAAAATGTGCAGCCTTGGTTAACTGGTCCATAATCACCCAAATAACATCATGATTGTTCCTGGTCCTCAGTAAACCAGAAACAAAATCCATAGAAATGTTGTTCCACTTCCACTCAGGGACTTTTAATGGTTACAACAACCCAAGTGGACGCTGATGCTATACCTTTGCCTTCTGGCAAGTTAGGCATTTGGCCACATATTCTGCAACATCCCTCTTCATCCCATTCCACTAAAAGCTCTTGCGGAGGTTCTGATACATCTTGGTTGTACCGGAGTGAAAACTCATTCTGCTCTTATGCGCCTCCTCAAGTATCATCTACTTCAGCTCATCCACTTAGGGAATGTACACCTGGTTCTGAAACTTAATTACCCCGTTCTCATCACAATGGAACTCTAAGTTCTTTTCCTCACTCTCTTGCCTCATCAAGTCTTGCTAGAAAGCATCTTCCAGGTACACATCTCAGACATACATCAAGAAGTCATTGTGGATTGTCGTCGCTTCGAGATACAAACTCCCTGGCCTCAACTCCATAGCCAAGTTCATGTCCTGAAACTTCTTAATCAGCTTCATCTCTTTCACCATCATTGCTATCACATGCAATGATTTCTAACTCAAAGCATTGGCCACCACATTCGCCTTGCCAGGGTGGTAAGACAATGTAAAATTATAGTCCTTTAGAAATTCCATCCATCTCCTTTGTTGCATGTTCAACTCCCTCTTATCAAACAGATACTTTAAATATACCGCTGCTAGATGCTATTAAACAGATTCCTAGGTATCCAAAATTTTGAAAGAGCTATGTACATACAAGAGGAATTTGAAGAAGAGGGCAGTCCAAACAGTCTCATCCCTATCTCAGTCCAGCCTTCCATAGAAATGTGATGATCCACGCACATTCTCCATACCTTGCACTATTGGTAAAGCAACATTTACTAATGCCATCTGCTGTGTAAAAATGCTACAATTGGGAGACTTGAAGTCAACCAGTTTGATCATTCAATTGGCAAACCACAGCATAGCTCAGCCTTTGGGAGTGCTTGAAGATGAGTTAGTAAAAGTTAACCAGTTAATTTTTTCACTTGACTTCTATATTCTTGATATGCAGGATAAGAATTTTACATTGATTCTGGGAAGGCCATTTTTAATGGCTGCAAGTACCAAGATTGATGTTCATACAGGCACATTATCTATGGAATTTGGAGAGGACACAATTCACTTCAATATTTTTGAAGTCATGAGACACCCAACTGAAGGCCATTCCATGATTATTGATCATTCTATTTTTCTGATTTGGACATTGATGTAATTCCTAGTTGCACCTGTGATAGTGGCATGTGTCCCATCTGTGCTGAGATTGATACTGCTATATCCTCTGTTTTGCCTTCCTTCGCAGGTGCAGATTCTAATATTTCTATGGCTATTGATGTTTCACAGTTTCCTTCATCATCCATGCAATAACTACCACCACTAGAGCTGAACCTTTTGCCAGACCACCTTAAGTATGCCTATTTAGATACAGAGCAAAGGCTTCTAGTAATCATTTCCAGAAGCCTTCGTGAGGACCAGGAGGAGAAGTTGCTGAATGTTCTGAGAGTGCACAAGAAAGTCATTTGCTGAACTTTGGCTAATATCCCTAGAATCAGCCCAGCCATATGCATGCACCGAATTCTGTTTAAGGATGAGTCTAAACCTGTGAGACAGCCCCAAAGAAGACTCAATTCCACCATTATTGATGTAGTGAAGAAAGAGGTGACCAAGCTACTGATGGCTAGAATCGTCTACCCTATTTCATATAGCACATGGGTCTCACATATGCAAGTGGTGCCTAAGAAGTCTGGGATAATGGTTGTGCAGAACCAGGAGAATGAGTTGGTTCCCACCATAGTTGCCATCAAATGCAGAGTATGCATTGATTATAGGCAGCTCAACCAAGCTACCAAGAAGGACCACTTCCCTCTCTTATTCATTGATCAGGTCATAGAGAGGTTAGCAAGTAAGTCTCACTACTATTTTTTGGATGATTTTTCTGGTTACATGCAAATACACATTGCTCCTGAGGACCAACATAAAACCACATTCACCTGCCCTTTTTGCACTTTTGTATATAAGAGAATGCCTTTTGATTTGTGCAATGCAACTGCTACTTTTCAACGGTGTATGCTGAGTATGTTTTCTGATTTGATTGAAAATTGCATGGAGGTGTTTATGCATAATTTTACAGTTTATGGTTCCTCATTTGATTCATGCTTGCATAGTTTGACCAGAGATGTGTTGAATATTACCTTGTGCTTAATTATGAAAAATGCCATTTTATGGTAACAGAGGGTGTAGTCTTAGGACATCTTGTTTCTGAGAGAGGAATACAGGTTGATAAAGCTAAAATTGATGTTATTACCTCTCTATCTTACCCCGTGTCTATGCTGGAGGTGTGTTCTTTTCTTGGACATGCAGGTTTTTACAGGAGATTCATCAGAGATTTCAACAAGATTACCTTGCCACTGTCCAGTCTTCTGTAGAAGGATGTGCCTTTCATATTTTTTGATTCGTGTAAGGAGGCATTTGAGGAATTGAAGAGGAGACTCACTACACCCCCTATCATGCAGCCACCAGATTGGGAGCTCCCCTTTGAGTTAATATGTGATGCCTCAGATTATGCACTTAGAGTTGTATTGTCATGGAGAGTAGGTAAATTTCTGCATGTCATAGCTTGCCTTTAGAACTCTTGATACAACTCACGTAAATTATACCACCATTAAAAAGGAGCTTT